GGCTCGCGCGCAGCCTGTGTGCCCGCTTTGTGTCCCTTCCCTAGGCGCAGCCAGGACTCACCCCAAAAGCTGCCTCTTTCCAAGCGGCGTCCCATGAGCCAGACCCTGCGATGAGCTGTTCTGGTCCAGGCTACATTAAAAACAAAATGCAGTTATTTCCCATCAGCTTTTCAGCATGGGAAGAGAATCTGACCGTAGAAAGGGATGATCCGCACTCATAACCGAGAGCAAGGCTGGGGGTGTACCCAAATCCTCTTCCTCCCAGGTAGACCTCCCCCAGGCTCTCCAAGCTGAATGTTTTTGCTGCAGGAGCATAAGTTCACCTGCAGCCTTGTGATTTCCCCTTCTGTGTCCGACCACAAGCCACCCTGCTCCCCTTGAATCCCTCCCTTTCCCCTCTGCATCTGCTCCCCCAGCCCGTCCCAGTATGGACGGGGACATCCCTGCTTCGCTGCTGCAGGAGGGGCTCCTGCATCCCAGCGTGGTGCTGGATTTTATAATGGTGGTTGCAGGACATAAGGATGCTATCACAGGCTCTTTGGGGCAGAGCAGTTACAGAGAGCCCAGCTTGAAGGCAGTGCTGGAAACTGGATACAAACCCATGTTAAAAAATATAATTGAAATTAAATAGGGCAGAAAAGTCACGATTGTGGGATTGCTGGGGAAGGAGCAAGATACCTGCTGGTCTGGGCATGGAAATCTCACAGGATGAGTCGCTCTCACAGGGTTTGCATCTTCCTGGTGGAAATTTGGAAACGCTGAAGCTGGATTGTTGCTGGTTTTGGGTCCCAGTGGTTGACGGGGCACATTCATCTCTGGGGATTCAGGTCTGAGCGCATCCATGGATAATCAGGCACAGTCCCTGCAGCAGCTCCATGCTCCCCTGGTCTAAGCAAAAGACTCAGTGAATGAAACATGGCTGTTGAGTATGGACTGGAGCAGGAGCGAGGCCGTCGGCTTTGCTGGGGATTTTCTGGGGGGTAACAGTAGGGGTCTGGTTCACAGCCGATGTCCTGTTGTCCCTGCAGAGACAAACCCTTTTCTCTCCACTTGAATCCGCAGGACATCCTGGAAGGTGGCAACTTGCGTGTCCCGCTGCAGGAACTGCACCAAATGATCCTCACCCCCATCAAAGCCTACTCTTCCCAAAACTCAAGCACGGAGGAGCACAGCCGGGACGCGGACTCGCATCACCCCTCCTCCCTGATCGGCTCGGACAGCCAAGGCTCTGACTGCAAGGACTCTGCCGCAGGGGGGATGCAGCAGCACCATTTGCCGGGATGTGAGGGCGAGTCGGGGGGGGCCCCTTTGCCCGAAGGCGACTTGCCTGGACAGTTCACCAGAGTGATGGGGAAAGGTGAGCTTGTTATTGTCATCCTCGCTAGGGAGAGCCGCTTCAGGGCAGGGTGCCTGCGGTGGCGGCGCTGGTAGCAGCCTTCCCCCGAGCTCCTGCAGGCCACGGTCCTAGGGGTGATGATTTTTTGAGGCCCCGTCATGCTGTGGTAAGAGGTAAGAGCGTGGGTGGGGAGGTGGGCAGTGATTTTGGGGAGGGGTAGCGATGGCACGGGCTGCCTGCCCCAGGTCAGAGGTGGATAGCATCCTCTCCCTGCCCCAGGTCAGGGGCGGATAGCATCCTCTCCCTGCCCCAGGTCAGGGGCGGATAGCATCCTCTTCCTTCCCATTCAGAGCCCTGGGGGCATCCCGTCGGTCCAGAGGTGTTTTCAGCAGCGTTCCTCGGACTTGCTTTGCTTTTGAGCAGTGGCGCATGGACTGGTTGTGAGCCCTCTTGAGTGCAAATCGGCTGGGTCCAAGCCCCTTTTTAAGCCCTAATTTAGATGCAGGACATCCAAAAATACTCGGGTGCCGTTCCATGCCTAGTGGGGGGTGCATGGCCTTGCATCAGGATTATCACACTGGGAGGTGCACTGGAGCGATGTGTGGTGGGAACCGACCTCCTGTGCCATATACAGGGCTCTTGGAGCAAATTTGGATGAGCTTGGATGTGTCCTAAGCCCCGTCGGTGGCACCTGAGCTGCTGATGCTGGCTGCCTGGAGGGGGATCTCCCTGAGGAAGAGGGCAGGGGAGTCTCATCGCAGGCTCACACAGGAGACCAGGAACAGAAAGGAACTCGCTGGGATGCCACGAAGAAATATCAGCCGTGTCCCTATTTCAGACCTTTTTTGCAAAAAAGAGATGAGATGTTTTCTATATAAAAAGATGATGCAAAATTTCACACCAGCTAATTGACTACATGCACAGACAAACGTGGGTTTCTGGCCCCATTTTAAACCCGCTGATGAATTCAGGCCGTGACAAATGCCTCCGTCACGCACGAAGCTGTACATATGGCCCGAGCCTTGGCAGGACAAGGTGTCCTTCTGGACCGCAAAACATCCCTGCCCGGGGGTTATGACAGGAGAGACTCATTTCTCTGTGAACTCATTTCCACTTGCTTTTATGGGATTAATTCCGAAAGAGGTTAAAATCCATCGGGAAAGGTAGGAATCCCTTTGCAGCGGGAGCAGATCTTGGCTGTAGGAGCCGGAGCTCTCCCAGCGCCGGCTCTTGTCTAGGAATAGGGAATAATCCTGTGCCCCTGATTTGCTCAGGTCTAATTTTGGTGACTCCAATGGTGTCACTCTGGATTTACACCAATGTACCAGAGAACAAAATCCGGCCCTAAATATAGGATGGCACGGCAGGAATTGGGGAAGGGTGTATTTTCTCGCTGATGAGAAGACTCACCCATGGGACAGGGGAAACAGGACATCCAAGGCGTTTGTTGGACCCCCCTGGGCCCCAGCTCAGTGTCCCCATGCCCATTTCTCTTCTCTTCTCTCTTTTTTGTTTTTCCAGTATGCACACAACTTTTAGTTTCCCGACCCGACGAAGAGAATATAAGTTCCTATTTACAGCTCATAGACAAATGTCTAATCCATGAGGTGAGTCGTGACGGGTCATCTAAAACTGTTGTTCTCATCACTTAGAAACTGTTTCCAAAGTGTCTGTTTATGTAAACTTTTTGGTTTCTAACACAAATATTTTTGGGGGGTATTAATAGTAATTCTGACAGAACAGGGCTGGAGCGGGCGGTAGCTCCAACGTGGCGCATGGAAATGTTGCCCCCCGTCCACGCTCGCTTAATTGCCAAGACCTGGAGCTGGGAAATTCATCCGGCTCATGACAGTCTGATCAGCAGCTGGATGAAAGGAAAAATCCCGGGATGAACGTGCAGACAGACCCGGCGATCCCTTGGCTGCCTCTCGTTTTGCAGCATGTGGTCTTGGGATTTTGCAACAGGGGCATCTGTTTCTGCTCCCAGCGGATCTGCCTTTGCCAGGTGATGGCTTGGGATGGCCAAGGCTGTGCCGCAGGGCTCCGACACGCTCCTGCCTGGTGGCAGGGAGGGATGGCCGGCGTCCCCGGTGTCCAGCAGCATTTCGTACCCGTGCCAGCTGCACCTGGAAGAACAAGCTGCTTCTCATCGCCTGCCCATATGGCAGGGGTCGGGGGAAGATTGCACACCCTCTCGTAGGAGCTGCAGGCTTTAAACATTTCTCAGTTATTTGTTTATAAAAAAATAAGCTGTCAAAGCACAGAAGAATCTTCTCTGGAGAGGGCTGGTGGCTGCAAACCCCAAAATGTGCTGCACGCCACATGGAAGAGGAGAGAAGCGGCTCGCAGCCCCTTGCCTTGCAGCTGAAGCCCCTGCCCAAGCCACACTTGTGCAAAGGTTTGATCCACGCATCTCTGCAGGGCCAAGCACGGGGCATCTTGAATCGGGATGAAATAATTGGATATTGGGCAAAACGCAAGTGCTTCAACGTATTTTTTGAACCGTGCTCCTGGACACCTCTGTCGATCACAGGGGGGATTTCAGTGCATTTTGCTGGCAGCGCCTGCAGTGTCAGCCAACATTTGGCCCTGTAAAATACGGGGTGGTGGCACCACTGTTTGGGTTTGCTGCAAGACAGGTTTAGAGCCGTGGGTACGCTCTTCTCGGTGCTTTACACAGATGCGGGCAGCGGCGAATAGCTGTAGGGGCTGGAGGGGAGAGCATGCCTGCTCCCACTTGCTCCCCTCTCAGAGAGCGTCGGAGCCTGGAAATGGTGCCTGGACTTTCTGGACGGCCAAGCAGGGCATCGCTGGGGGAGCAGAGGCGTGAAGAGAGGAGCGAGGATGGTGGGAGCAGATGCCCAGGGCTGGAGAGCAAAGCCAGGAAGGCACAGAGCTGCAGAGGGGCTCATTTTCCAGGAGCACCCGGGAGGGACGTGGTGACACAGCATCACCCCACCGGTGCCAGCCTGTGTCCCAGGACCGTGCGTCGGCTCTGGCAGCGCCGGGAGACAACATCTTCTCCAGAGGGCGGTTCGGAACAATCGAGTCAGACGCTAATTAGCCTCCAAATTGTCCTCCAGAGACGTCCGCTCCTCTCCGCCGGCGGCGCAGAGACGTTGGGTGTCTAAAGTTAGCTGTGGTGGGCACGTGGATGTCCCCGTAACCCACACCGCCTGCCTGGAGGACTGGGGCGTTTCAGGAGGAGGGCTGTCCCCTGTGTGGGTGACCTTCTCAGGGAGCCCGGGTGGGTGACAGGGCTCACCCTGGGTGACCTCCTGCAGAGGCTGTTGGCACCGGGAACAGAGCCGAGCTCTGCCCAGCCCCAAGAAGGAGGAATAGGATGCAGGATACCACGGAGCAGCTCTGCTTTCCAAATCCCAGCTTTTTCCCACCCCAGCAGCGTTTTCTAGAGCCACGTCCAGGTGACAAGTGTCACCACCAGCCATCAAACCCCGCGGGGAGCTGCGCTCACACCCCAGCAGCAAGCGGGGAGCTGCAGCATGAGCAGTGGGTCTGGGGGCTAGGAGGGGTTAGCGGGGAGGCTTTGGGGATCCCTGTTCTGCCCAGGGGGGTTGGCAGCCTCAGGGCCATCGCTCTGGGGCACAGGGGATGCTGCTGGAGCATTTTCTCAACCTGAGATGAGTAGATCCTCGAGAGAGACCAGGGTTTCCCTCTGGACTTGCCGATGGGGCTCAGCTCACACCACCGCCTGCTCCAGCTGCTTTTCTTTACATGCACACCCACATATGCATCCCTGCTTGCTTAGTCCAGAAAAATATTCATACGTTTCTTATTCTTCTCTTTTTTTGGGGGGCAGGCGTTTACAGAGATCCAGAAGAAGCGGCTGCTGTCATGGAAACAGCAGGTGCAGAAACTCTTTCGGTCTTTCCCTCGGAAATCCCTCCTGGAGCTGTCAGGCTATCGGCAGCAGAGGAGGTACGCCGGCTTTTGGGGAGGGATGGATGCAGCAGCCGGGGGGCCCGGCAGGAGCATCTCAAGAGGGACCAATGTCTCCCAGCAGGGAGGGACTGATCCTGCCGGATTCAGAGATGCATTTCGGGAGGGAGGAGGATTGGAAAAGCTTCAGCAGTAAAACCCCAGGCGTTGGCTGGGAAGGGAAAGCAGCAGTAAGTTTGCTTGCGTGTGTGGTCTGCGTCTACCCCACCGATTCCCACCGCATCTCCCTGGCTCCGAACCCGGCGCTTCCCAGCTGTGCAGCGTATCCCCGGCACTGGGCGGCCGGCTCTTTGCTGCCGCCCTTTGCTAATTACATCAGTGCTGGAGTTTCACCAAAAAGCTGTCAACTGGCAAAAAAAGGCTTGGAGGGTGCAGAGCCCTGGGGCTGCGGTCAGAAAGCCAGGTGGGGCTGTGTTGCAACCACCATGTTTCCTCACTTCCAAGGTGATGCTGGATTTCGGGTGATCCTAGAAAGCGTTGGGGTTATGGCAAGAAGAGATATTTTTAGATCAGTTTTAACAACAACATCAGCCTTTTGTTTCGTTCTGCTAAGTCTATTTTATTGCAATGTTGTGCAAGTTCTTTCTTCTCAAAGAGAGTTTTGGAGGTAACCGGGAGCATTGGGACAGCTGGGATGTGAGTTTGGAAGGAACAAGCGCAGAACCAGAGTGTTCCCCGGTGGAATGAAATGAAATATTTTGGAATGGAAAAAGCAAGCAGTTTCAATGCTCGCGGCAGGATCAGAAGCAGAATAGACAAGAGCAAAGGTTTTTGATGGACCCGTTTGGTCTGGGCCATCACCGGCGCAGCGGTTTAGCTGCACACCCAGGCCGACCCCAGACACGAGGTGGGGCTGCTGGCTCAAAACGGTCCCAGTCCCTTTCCCGGGGCCGCCCAGGATGCTCTCGGGTTTCCTTGCTGCTTTTGGGTGGTTTGCATTTTGCATTTCTTCTGCTCCTTCTGCTCCTGGGAAGCTGCGGGCAAGGAAGGAGCAGGCGACCACTCCTGCTTTTCTTCTGGGGATTTAATGGCAAGAGCGTTTTTTGGATGAGGTTTAAAGAAACCCAGTCATACTCCTGCCTCGTAAATTTATCCGGTTTTGGGATCCCAGCGTGCTCATGTCACATGAAGCGTGTTTGCAGCCACCCGCACAAGCAGGAGAGATGAAGGCTGGGAGGAAGATGAGCTGAAACGTCTGCGAGGGTGATTAAGTGCTGGAGAAGGGCAGGGGGGGAACGGGGAGCGTAAAAGCAACCGCAGCTGTGGGTTTGCAGAGCGCTCCTATCCTTGGCTGTGCTTAAACCCAGTAACGGCATTGCAGTCCTGCTGCCCAGCTAATCAGGTAGAGACACCAAGCGAACATTGCGTGGCAAGGAGACCAGCACTGCGTGTGTTTCCAAGGATTACCTGATGATTTTTGTGTCATTCCTCTGGTTTTAAATGCAAAAACCTACATGGGGACAGATGCCAGCATGTCTGACCCGACCCTCCAAGCAGTAAAGATGGTTTCGTGTCCTGAGATGGGTGTCTCAGGATATTTGGGCTGCATGGTCTTGGGTCCAGATGGTTTTGCTCTGACCAGAGGGAGCTGGATGAAGGTTTGCAGTGCAGAGTCAGTCCCACCTCTGCACCAATGTGCTTTTCGCTCATTCCCTCCTAGAAAATCTTGGACTTGTTAGGTCATTTTAACCAAGTTGTCCAGAACTTGAGAAGTCTCAGAGAGGACCATGTTCATAGAACTGAACCTCCTGGAAGGGGAGAAGGTCCAGCGCTTCGAGCATTCCCAGTGAAGAAAACCCAACAGCATAAGCTGAACCTTTGTCAGACACTAGAGAATCCACACACAAGAGCTCTCTTATGTACAGCCCAAAGGCATGAAGAGTTTAAGTTAAAACCCCAAGATATCAGGCACCGCTAGCTCCAGTGCCTGGGGAATTACCTGCATTATTTTAGCTTGCAGTTAAGAATAGGCCCATTTTGCAGGAGTAAAATAAACTTTAAAGCAAAATAATGTGAATCTGAGAACTGCAGAAGGGAGGGAGGGTGACTGGCAGACGGGAAGAAGAGGGGATGCTGCTGTCGTATGCCCAAACCTCCTTCCCGTTGCACGTGCAGGATGGAGGACCGTCCTCCCGGGATGGGAGGCTCGGGGCAGGAGCAGTGAACCCGTGGCCGTGGGATGGGCGTGGGGTGGCGAGCATCAGTATGGGGCGTGGGGTGGCGAGCATCAGTATGGGGCATGGGGTGGCGAGCATCGGTCCGGCGCTTTGCAACAACGCAGGGGCACCCTCGGGACATTTGGCTGTTGGTCTGAGCGCACCAAACCAGCCGCTTGCCCCCGTGCCCGCATCAGCGTTCCCTTGCAGGGGACAATTTCTCACCCTCGATGCTTTCTCTCTCCGCAGCCGAGGCTTTGGCCAGTCAAACTCCTTACCGACAGCCGGATCTGCAGGGGCAGGACTGGGCCGGCGAAATCCCCGCCAGTTCCAGATCCCCTCCCGCAACCTCCCCACCGCCCGGCTGGGGCTGCTGGGCCCCAGTGGGCTGCTGGGCACTCCCCAGCGCAGCCCCGCCGCCAGCCCCGCCATCCTCAAGCAAGGCAGACAGGTTGGTCGGCATTCACAGTGTCTCCAGTTTTTCCATCCCTTCCCTGTAAGCTTCCTTTGCTTTTTCTCCTCTAACTTCTCTGGATCCCCTTTTTTTCCTTCTTTAGTTCAAGCCAAGCAAGCGAGAGCAATTTATTCTCCATGCAGCTGGGTGCAGAAAAGGGACTGGCAGGAGGGGGGCAAACTGGGAGGCAGAGGGGAGAGAGATGAACCAAAGGGGGTTATAAAATGTGGTCCAGACACCTCCGTTTTACATCCTGCACCCCTTTTTTGTTTGCTTCCCACAGAACCTCTGGTTTGCCAACCCTGGGGGCAGCAACAGCATGCCCAGCCGGAGCCACAGCTCGGTGCAAAGGACGCGCTCGCTGCCGGTCCACACCTCCCCGCAGACCATGCTGATGTTTCAGCAGCCAGGTAGGAAGCAGAGATTGGCTTTTTCGCTTATCTGCAGCCCGGTGAGAGAAGGGGAGGTTGCGTGAAAGGAGCCGCGCCGGTGAGCCTCGCCGCAGGCGCATCGCCCGTGCCAGCGCAGCGCGCTCCGGCACGCTTGCAGCCACGCTAGTATCTTTGACACTGGTCGGATTACGGGGTTGATTGAACCAGAGACATCACTGGAGGGATTTTGACCCTATATATAACATCTTGGCCCTATATATAAATAGGCTGGTGCCTTACCTAGCTTGCTTCTGAGGGGCTTCGTGTCAGGCGGGGAAGGCGGTAGCTCTTCCATCACCTTCTTTGCTCACGTATGGACACAGAGACCTGATGCTGTGTCGGTGCTTCCTTCCCAAACACCGCGAAAATGCTCCCGTATATAGGAGCATCCTCCGATTCATGGGGGTTCCTGCGGAACCTGGATCTGAACCGGGAGCATTCTTCCCAGGAGGACAGTCCTGCCTTGTTCTCTGTGTATCCCTTCATTAGCCTTTAAGCATGCCTTTTCTTACCAACACACTTACCAGAACAATTTATACCCCAGGACAGGGAGCGACACCCCCCCAGTAAACTAAACCTCATCCATAAGCTTCTGCCGTGGTTTCAGCTTGGCAGCTCCCCTCGCATCACACACCTGCGGTGTTTTAACTGCATAATTTAGGCAGCAAATGTCCTGTACAGCAAAAGCAGCGTCTGTTCTCGGGTATTGATTAAATACCAGGACAAGGGCACATTTCTACAGGCGCTGAAGGAGAATAAATAGTTTTCTCTTTGCGTGTTAGCCTGCGGTGAATGAGGGCGTGGGAGGATTAAGGAGCCAAAGATGCAGACTGAGTCGCGAGGAAAATAAGCAATAACACGGGGCTGGGGGACCTCAGCCCTCCTGGACCTCATCCCATGTTCCTGTCAGCTGGTGGCAGGCAGGAGATGCCGTCCAGCGGTAGCAAAAGCTGTATTTGCAGCTTTTTGCAGACCGGGGGCTGTTTTGGTGCTGTGTGGATCAGGCTGGGATGTTGCAGCACACCAAACTTCATCCCCCCCCTTTTTTGGGCTCACCCCGGGGGATGTGGCAGCGGGGCCATGGGCAACCGAGCAGCGGCCAAGCTGGCCATGGAAAAGTCAGCCGGTGGCTCTGCCGGTCTGTGCTGCCATCCCACGTCTGAGCGCTAACCCTGCCTGCGCGCTGCCTGCACAGGCAGCTCCCGGCCCTGCTGCTCCCCGGGGCCGCTTGAACATTTTACACATCTTGAGGGTTTTTGCAGAGCCTGAGGAGGGGGAGAGCCCGGGGCTGCCCCTCCCAGGGCAGGGGGATCCGCTCTCGCCCCAGCTCCCCCCAGCATCTCTGATGGGTGCCTGAATCCCTCATTTCCCTCCACCTTCTGCTGCAATGCCCTTGAGTCTCCCCAGATTTGCCCCTTCTCAATAAGAAAGAGGGGGGCGACGACTATTTTTGCAAACGTCTCTTGCCGGAGGTGACTGCACTGGGAAGTGAAGCGCTGCCAGAGTCCGGCCATGCGGTCCGGCCCTCCCGGGGCATCTTTTGGGTGGTTTCCTACCCCATGTGCACCCACTCGGACAGCAGCAGAGCAGGCAGGGGCTGCAGGGCAGGCGGGCAGGGTCCCTGCCAGGTCCCCTGACCGAGGTCTCCTGTCCCTTTCTCCCTGCAGAGTTCCAGGTGCCGGTGACTGAACCTGACATCAACAACAGGCTGGAGTCCCTGTGCCTGAGCATGACGGAGCACGCGCTCAGCGGTGAGCACTCCCTCCTCCTCGGGCTCTTCCAGCACATCCACGCCACCTCCGCCGAGCCCCCCGGTGCCTGCCCCTGCCCCGTGCCCCCCAAAAGCTGGGACAGGCTCTGGCTGTGAGGGGATGGGACGGCAGCGGGGCTGGATGCAGGGATGCTCCCAGGGATGATCCCAGGGATGCTCCCAGTGGGGGTCAGACGGGGACATTGGCTTCTCTCGGCAAGGTAGCCGGGCCAGAGGGGTAAAACCGAACGCAGGGATCGCACCCAGCACTTAGTGGAGTCGGTGCTTATTAGCCACTAGTTAGCTTGCTAATATTAGTATGAGCTCGCTAGTTTGTTATTAGCTCTTGATAAAGCCCTTGCCACCGGAGCGCTCGAATGGTTCACAGGCTTTGGAGTATTTTACCCTTCTGCCACCGGCGTCCCTCGTTTGGCCAGGGGGTGCAGGAGCCCCAAGGCCCAGGGCTCAAACCCTGCCATGGGCTACAGGGTGCTGTGCTGGGCGCTGTGCCAGTGGCACTGGCAGCTCCTTGCCCGCGCCTGGGGCGGCTGCGGGTGCCAGCCTGGGTGGGCGGATAGCGGGCACGGGGAGGGAGGAGGACCAGGCGGAAAAATGAGCAGGGAAGGTGGAAAAGGCCGCAGCAGCATGATGGAGAGGCCAGCACAGCAAAAAGCACCGGCACCAGAAGCGCCCCGTGCCCCTCGCCAATGCACCGGCCCCCCAAGCACGAACAATGACTCCCCGGCAATGGGACGAGTGTGGCCGCCTGCATTGCCCAGACCCTCCCAAATAACCAGCTCGGGTCTCGGCCCCGGCAATCCCCGGACGGCGTCGAATGGCTGAGGACGGGAGCCCTTGGGGAGGATGAGTGCTGCCGGGTTCCCACCACCGGCACGGCTCCCTGCGGCGATGTGACAGCCTGTCCCGGGGAGAGGGACGTGAGAGCACGGACTGTAAGAGGCAGCAGGGCCCTGGCAGCGCCACGGCAGCATCCTCAGCCGGCAAAACAAGGACACTTCTGTCACCCGAAGCGTTTCTCCGGCGTGTGCCCAGGCGAGGCTTAGCTGTCTTGTTCCTCTGCAGGGTACTGTTCCTCCGAGTTATTTTTTCCAGGTCGCATACCCCGAGCCTCTGGAAAGCGGTCGTGCTATAAATAGCTCTTAAAAAAAATAAACCTTCGGGGGAGAAAAAAAAAAAAAAAAGGCGTAACAAACCTGTTTGTTTTTAGTCTTAAGGAGGGAGGTGGCCGTGATGCCCTGGGTAGTGTAACAGGGAGTGCTCTGTTTGGGGGCTGCCCCCGCTGCCACTCTCCATCCCGGGGATGGGGGTTTGGGATGGGGGACAGGGGCCACTGGGGCCGCGGGAGGGTTGGAAGCGCTGTTGGGTGTTGATTTCTGGCCCCATGAGAGCTGCTGGCACCCGGGGGGTGGGGGAGAGGGAGCTGCTGGCAGCAGGGTCGTTTGTGCGGCTTTGGGATGGGTCATGGACCCCTCGCTCCTGGGCTCGGGGCTGTGGCTAGACGCGTCCCTGCTGTCATGGGATGCTGGGGACGGGGGCTCTGGGGGGACAGAAACAGCCCCTGGGGAGTTTTTTCCTGCCATGGTTCTCAGACAGAGGAAAATTTTGCATGCTCTGTGGTGCGGGCATTGCAGGGCTGGGTTAGCTGGGGGGCAAGGCAGTCCCCTGGGACCGGCTCCATCCCTGTTCCCCCACTCCTGGGCACTGGGGCATGAACTTGTCCCGCTGTAGGGGGGTCCCAGACTCGCACTCACCTTGGGCTGCCCAGAAACCCCCTCTGCTCCTGGGAAAGCTGCCGAGGGGATGTGGCAGAAGGCCTGGACCCAGTGTTGGGACAGTGACTTGCGGGGGGGGGCTGCCAGGGGGTGGGGACAGACGGCAGCACGCAGGCACCGGCAGAGCTCTGACACCCCAAAACCCTTCCGCACCCCCTTGGGGAGATGGAGGGGTGGCCCCTTGGTACCAGCTCGCCGCAGGGGCTGCGGGTTGGGGTGCTCTGGGGGTCCATCCCTCCCCCGGCTCGGGGCGGGGGTACCGGTGCAACGTGAGCGGCCGCTCGCTGGGGCTGCTCCTAACTCTCCCTTCCCGCTTGCAGATGGTGTCGACCGAACCTCCACGATCTAGAAGGCGTCGCGACGGGGACGCTGGCCGGGAGAACAACTGCTGCGGGTCCAGCGGCGAGGTCGGGGCTTGCAGGGAAGCCTCAGCGATAGCTTGCATCCTTTCTCCTCTCTCTCCTCTCCTCTCTCTTTCTCTCTCTCCTGTTTTAATTTTGTGAATGTGTAGATTGTCCTTGTGAACATATCATTAGACTTGGAATTTGTGTTGTCATTTATTACATCCATGCTAGGGGGGAAAAAAAATGGCAAAAAAATCGACGACGACGATGAAGAAGCATGGGGAGGGTGGGGGG